CACGATAAAGTGGTGGCTTTTTATAATGAATTCCTGTAATTTTCATGAAAGCGCTCCAGAACCCTCACTCACTACCTTCACTGAGAGTGCAGCATGAGTTCAACCTGCCCTAGATAACAGAGGATTCACCCAGGAACTTATTCTTGAAACACAAGTATTAACAAAACTAGATGTTACTGGTTCTCTTTTCTTGATTGAAGTCAATAGGACATTAATATACCAGAGCTTCCTCTGTCAAAAGCCAAGACGGTTTCCTGTCTTTTGATAGCAACAATGGCAACAGCTGCTTCAGCCGGATAACAGTCCAATCAGCCCCACAGCAGAAGCAGCGTGCCTTCCCGTGTGGCTGTCCCCACCGGCATACCTTAATGCTCTGACTACATTTTTAAAGAGAATACTAGTTATGAATAATTAAGCCAGATTTTCAATGCTTTCCTGATAAAGGGGGGAGCCTTTTATTCATCACTGAATTATACTGAAAACGTAGGTGAACAGTATTGGTAATTTCATCCCCAAGATCCAGGATTTCAGATAGTGATGATTCCTTCATGGGATGAATATCACATAATGTCTTTTGCTGAGCAGTGTGCGCTTGCAATTGGATATGAGCCACGCACCACAGGGCTTCACATATACCTCACCAGCACCCTGTTTATGCAGAATCCTGGCTAGGAAAGTATAAACTGGAGAATTTGCAAGATATAAGCAGTTTTCGAAAACAATCACTTCAAATTTACCAAGTAGTTAACTGAAGTAGAATTGACTAAAACATAGAATTACATATTTGATTATATACTCAAGCCAGAGAATCAAGTCTTAAATCATAACAGTATGACATGGCAAGCCATTAGGCAAAGATTCTAATCTTAAAAATACATCTAGGCTGTTCAGTATGCTAAAAATCAAATTTTAACTCCTCGACCACAAGCTGCCCTGTTTCATCACAGGGTGACAGCCGTACAAAACTTCAACACATTAAAAAAAGTATTAAAGCAAAAGTGTTATGTTACAAAAGAAAAACTCAATCTTTCCGCATTATTATTCTTGCTTTTTAATTTCTCCTCGGTCATAGTAAAAGTTAATGTCAATCTTAGCAAATCTTGGCTTTTCTCACCAAATTCCAAGTTCCATCACAGTTATCTCACTATAATAGGACGATCCTGCTGTTAGGTCACGTGGATATTAACTTTGTAAGATCACATCTTCCACAAATCCTGTTGATCATCACACGGAAGTTAAGACTGCTGTTAAACAGACTTATTCTGCGTCAGGATTAGGACACCTGTGGCAGATGCTCCCCCACTGAAAAGCTACCACACTCATTTGTGGAGTCAAAAAAATAAAACAAAACACCGTATTACACCTCAAGGGCCATACTTGCGATTTATTTCAAGAAACTCCAAAAAAGCAAGACAAAGGAAAGTTGTGTTCACCCACATTTACACATTACAGACACTGGGAACCTGAACATTAAGTTGGTACTGCCTTTAAATATATAAAATAGATTAAAAGACAGTGTTTAGACATACTACCACAATTTCTATCTAGATGCAGTTAACTCCTTCCTCCACATCAAAAAGCCTTCAGTAGAAATATATACTCTTAGAAAAATCTATTACTATTGCATGCAAAAAAAAACAGAGGTTCATATGGATTTAAAATATTATTAAAGCCAATGGTTACAATTTACACTTAACTTCGGTTATATTTATAGTGAGTTTTAACCCTGAATCAATTCCAGCTCTCCTCCCCTGGCTTTCTTTTTCCTCATCTCTTCTGGCACTGAATCTGGCCACAGGTTATTGAAAAGGCAGACAGAAGAGGATAACTTATGCCGCAGGACTTAATTAGTAAGCACAAGCCGGTCTGAAATAGGAGCAAGGGTACAAGACGGATGACAAGGGGTGGGAAAAGTGAAATCGATGCCTACCACAGTCTGTTGGTTGGAACGAAGTCCTACCAAACCCCGTTTATAGTATCTAAACCAAAAAATAAGCTTTTTTAAATGAAGATATTTTTGAAAAGTTGCTATTCCTAAAACGTGGATTAAGCGCGGCACAGAGCACGTGGAAGGATTTGGCGTTATTACACCTCGGCCTTTGGGGCCTCTCGGGCCGCACGCGAGGCAGCCGAACAGGGCTCCGAAGGGGGACAAAGCCTCCACAGCTCTGGAGGAAGGTGGAAGACCTGAAGCGTTTTCAGCCCTTTCACCGCCTCGGGCGCTATTTCCGACGGCAGCGGTACCGCCCGCTGCCACCCCGAGGTCA